AGAGATGGGTAAGATGCACAAAAGCACTGCTCCTCCTGTTACTAACCTTGACTCAAGCCCCAACTACCCTGAGAAACCACACAGGAGCCAGGCATGCTAGCAGACAGTGGAAATACCAGAACTTGGGAGGTGGAGACAGAGGATCACAAGTTCAAGGTCACGCTGGCCTACAGAGTAAGGGGTGGGGAGCAAAAGAGAACAGAGGAATGGCAAACAGGCTGAGGAGACCCCACCACTCCTGGCTCCGCATGCCACTCCCTCGCTCAGGTACTAACACACCATCACCACCCATTCTGCCAGCAATCCGGGAGGGGAGCATCTGTGTCTAAGTTAGAAAAGGGCCCACAGGATGCCCGAGGCAATATGTGCTAGGCTGAGTTTGCCTCTACAGGCCTATCTCTGTCTCTCTTCCCACGTGAGCACTGCCTGAGGCCAGTAAGAATCCTCAGGAGGCAAGGTTTAGTTTACAGTAAGGTTGGTGGCCGTTGGTATCAAGAACAGATTCCTGTATAAAATCACGGTGACCTAGAACCCTGTCTTATCTAACAGTCCTTCTGCTATTTCTGAGCAGAACTGAAAAGTCAAATTGATTTTATCTGAATAGGAAATGCACAGATAAGAAGCCAGATCTTGACTGGCAGAACTGGGAAGACAAGCAAAAATGTTCTGGGTTGGGAGTGTAGCTCAGCAGGAGAGCACAGGAGTGCATGGGGGCCTGGATTCCATCATCAGCATTGAAACACACACACACTTCCTTTTAAACCCTCCCTACCCCTACTTTGGAAGTAACAGAATTAGCTATAGGAGTAGCTATGAAAACAAAGAACACTTGAGTCCAGGGCACTGAGCTGGAAGCCCTGGTCCACAGGCACAGATTCCATGAAGGAGGTGTAACGGTGTCTCCCCCAAGTGGCCAGGAGGCCTGATGAAGCCATGTGGAGCCTTCATGAAGTCCTAACCAGACTGCTTGTACTTGAGGCCTGTGTGCCCAGTGATCTGAAAAACCAAGTTTACATAACAGGCCTTTGTGTGGCTACCTAAGGGAAGTGAGAAGCAGTGGAATGGACCCCCGGTCTAGAGCTGAGCTCTTCTAGGGGCCAGTGCAGCAGGGGGAAGTCAGAATGGAGAAGCAAGTTCACAGCCCTTCTCATCCAGAGAGGAAAACGCAACAAGAGCAATGGTGAAACAAACCCTTTTACTTGTTTGTACCATCAGTTTTTGCTTAATTTACAAGACATTTGGGGGACAAAAAAAGAAGTTTGTAGCACTGTCTATTTTCTGGGTATTAGGCTCAGGGTAATTTTGTAATTTGAACCGCATGAACAGATCATCTACTTGTTTAAAAAGGGATAGGAAGGACCAGCAAGAGGACACAGTGGGTAAAGGTGCTGGCAGCCAAGCCTGCCAACCTGATTTCCATCGGCAGGACCCGAGGTGAGAGGAGAAGGGACTCCTGCAAGTCGTCCTGTGACGTCACGCCTGCCGTTGCACCAACTCCACACACCCACAGGCAGGCAGGCAGGCAGGCAGGCGTGCTCTCACACACATATCATCATCACAATAGAATGTAAAATACAATTCTTAAAAAACAAGCCAGGACATTTTTAAGTGCTTCCAAGCATGTCCACAGTTTTTCAACAACATTCACAAGTAGGTGAAGGGTCATTAGTCCCATTTCATAGATGAAGAAGCCTGAGGCTACAAGAAAGAACTCCACCTGCTAGGACAGAAGACTCAACCCTTCAGGCTCCTGGCCTCATGTTCTTGTTCAGATTCTCCAGTCAGAAAGACAAACGGCACTCCAATTCATGTGCTACATTCAGCCCTCGGACAAATCCAGGACACATCAAAGGAACAGGCTTGTGGACTTCCACAGCCGTTTGTGTGACCTGAGTGGGCTATTTTTTTTAATTCACCGTTTGTCCATATATAACGTGTGTGTGTGTGTATGTGTGTGTGTGTGTGTGTGTGTTGAACAGGCACATATATAGGAAGGTCCACACACACCATGGCATTTGTAGGGAGGTCAGGGGTCAACTTTCAGAAGCCCATTCTCATCTTGCACCCTGGGTTCTGGGATCAAACTCAGGCCCAGGACCTTACTTGCTGAGTCATCTAACCAGCCCCCAGGGTGGGCCTATCTCAAAGTTCCTATTAGCTGATAAATACCCTGAAATATTCTGGTGCCAGCTCTTACTGAAAATATTTATAAGATTCCTAAGTATAAACACTGGTTGTGGTGGTAGATGCCTGTAGCCCCAGCACTAGGGAAGTAGATGCAAGAGGATCCCAAGTTCAAGGGTGTCCTCAGCTATATATTGAGTTTGAGGCCAGCCTAGACTGCATGAAGCTCTATCTTGGACAAAAAACAAAAACAAACAAAACAGAGAGGAAGAGAAAAATAAGCCCAGGCACATACTCTGCTCCCAGTGAGTGCACTGGTTTGCTGCATTTGTCACCCTTCAGAACTTTGGACCACCTTTCCAGGAACAGAGGGAATCAGAAAGTGACCACTGTACCCAGAAGCCAGCCAAACAGATTTCAAATCCTGCTTTTTGCCCCTGACTTACAGGAGACCTCAAGTAAGCCAGTGACTTCACTCTTCTTGGCTTTGGCTTCTTCTCTATAAATATTAACCAGTAAACAGGCATAATGGACACATGTCTGACACCCGCCAACAGGATCTGGGTGTTTAAGGGCCTTATCTTCAACAGGAAGAGACAAACAATCCAGGTAATTTCAAGTCTAGGTAAGTGCTATAAGCACATAGACAATAGGGAAAAAAGACCTGGGAGGTCACGGGGTGGGAGGGGGGGGAACGCTGTGGGAAAGCAGCATTCATGCTAGAACCTGCTAAGTATCATTACACAAGGGTCTACAGCCACAGCAGGACAAGAAGGGGAAACATGAAAAGGTGGTGAGGCAGGACCAGCCTTGGCATGTTTAAAGAAGAGGGCTAGAGAGGTTAGAGAACAGAGTTGGAGAGCTAGTACAAGGGATGTAATGGGAAGTGACTAGAGAAAGAAAGAACTTGACTGGAGCTCTTACTTTCAGATTTCCACTAGAGCAGAACTCTAAACGAATAAGAAAACTGAAACACAGAACTGAATGCAGTTGGTTCTGCTCTAACCTGTGAGAAGCAAAGGCCTTCTTGTCCTTCCCAACCTGCTCCAGGAACTCCCAACCTCAGCAGGGCTAGGGCAGCAGGTGGCAGGTCTGTCTCTAAGGTTCCTCAAACTCTTGCAAAGCCCTGCTCAGGTGGGAGTCAGGCCTAAGTTCAAGCCTCAGCACCGCAAACAGAATAACCATGCCCTCCTGCCTGCAGAACACACCATTAAGCAGCTGACTCACAAGAGCTGCTAGAAAGGACAACCAGCACAGCTCTGAGGTATTACCACACACACAGCTCTGCTACTCCCAGGCCCGGGAGGCCGTCTCCTAAGAGGAAAAGCTGGAGTGGCCACAAGGAAAAGCAACAACAGGCTGCATGCTCCTGTATTGCATAACGTAAGCTCAAGCGCACAGTCCGAGCAGGGCTGCACTAGGGGACAGGTTATCTCCACGGGTAAACAGGCACACTGGCCCCTCCTTGACCAGTCAGCACAGAGATACACACACACACTGGGCATGGGCTGACAGCTTTCCAAAAGGGAACCATTCTCCTTATGCTTCCGTTTTCACGCTGCACTCTGGATGCAGACTGCTGGCATTATCAGAGGGCACAAACTTGACCACAGGCACACTCCACCTGACAGCCCTTCCCTGGCCACCTGCTCCAAAGGGATGGTCCAGAACAACTCAATATGCCTGCCTGCACCTGGCCCTTCTCCACCTCCAGAAACCAAAATATACCGAAACCCGAAAGCCTGTTTAAAACCTTGCAGGCAAATCTCTAGAGACACTGTGGCCAAATGAAAAAATGATCGTTGACTCGCTTTTTTCTACACGATGGGACAGGAGAGAGAGGCAACACCCAGAAATTATCCCAACTTTATAGAAACAAAAAGCTGAGAGTCACAGCCAAGGGCAACAGAGAACAGGCCTACAGCCACCCAAAGAAGCAGAGCCACAGCAGCAACAGGGTCAAGAGACTTCCATCCCTGGGCTTCACTTCCTGAAAACATAAGGACAGCCCCCACCCAGTACTTAGAAGAGCTGTCTTGAAGATCCTTCTGAACTTGAAACCACGAAAAAACGGCAAAGGGTTTCTGTAGGGAAAGTTACTGAGCGCCTCTGTGAGGAGGAACAATGCTGTGTCCTGTCCAGGATGCTACCGTTTTAGGGAGGGCAGACACCTAGGTTAAGAAGCTGATTTCATTCATCACAAATATTATTTATCAAATCATTGCCAGGACATTGTGGCGACCACATCCTGCTGTTTCTGCTGGGGTCATTGCCAAAGTTTGGTTCTCTCCCCCACCTTCCGGTATCTGTGAAGTTTTCAGTTTCTATCAACCCCTAGTTGGGGAAGCCCCCACCCCCACCCCCACCTCCCGCTGGTCCTAGCGGAGTCGAGTTCCAACACCGGGTTCCTAAAAGAGACTGCGGAGAGGCGTGGCCAGGGAGGAAATTCTGACAAAAACTTTTGGCCCTCCGGTCGTAGCAGCCACTACTTCCTGGTCCCTCCCGGTTGGTCACGGGGATGTCGTTATCTGGCTGAGTGCTCCCCAGAGGGCCGCGCAGGGAAGGGTCTGTCCCGGCATGCGCGGCGCTCACGGAACGGCCCGCAGGTCGCCCTCCACTGCAAGTTATTTCGGAGGAGTCCCCACGCCGTGAGCGCGGGGGTTGGGGTGGGGGTGGGGGAGAGGGGTAAGGGGTCGGCTTCCACCTCCACGATCCGGTCGCCCACTGTCACCACTCCCAGAGCCCCAGGCGGTGCTCTCGGATCTGAACCCAGCTCGGACACCAAGGCCTGAGCCCGTTCCGAAAGAGGGGGGAGCTGAGGGACTGGCCAGGGACCGCCCGCCGAGGGCAGAGCAGCGGGCCGCGCCGCCTCCCACCTTGACCCGCTTGCCCTGGATCTCCAGCGTCTTCATGGTGAAGTCGACGCCGATGGTGCTGCCCTGGCGCGCGGAGAAGACGCCGGTCTTGAAGCGCTGCACCACGCACGTCTTGCCCACGCTCGCGTCGCCCACCAACACCAGCTTGAACAGGAAATCGTAGTGCTCGTCCTGGTCCCCCGGGCCCGGGCCCGCCATGGCTCCGCGGGAGTCCTGGGGCGCAGGGCCCGCCCCGGGCTGACGGCAGCCGCGGGCCGAGGTCCGTGTGCCCTAGCCGCGGCCGCCTGGCTACGTGGAGCCGCCGCAGCACCTGGACGAGCTGCGCGGCCGGCCGACCGACGGCCCCGCCCCGCCCGGAGCCCCGCGGACTCGGCTCCGCCCGGGAGAGCAGCGCCCGGCCCTCCGCGCGGCCCCCGCCCGCCGTCGGAGCCGCGCCGGCCCGCGGCTACCTTAGGCCCGCTCGAGCGCCGCCTTCAGGGCGGGGCGAGCCGCCCTGCGCCCCAGCACCGCCCATCTCCGGCCGCTCGGCGCCCGGGCCCCGCCCCCAGGACCGCCCCGTCGCCCCCTCCCGCAACCACCGCCGCCCATCCCGTCCTCACAGTCCCGATCCTGGCGCTCAGCAGCTTCCCTCTAAGCTTCCCACCTCCCTGACCCTTCCCCGAGCACCGCCCGTAGCCCACCACGGCCAACGGCCCCGGCCCTTCTCTCAACACCACTCTGATCCCCCCTCACACCGTTCTTTCCCACTTCTCAGCACTTTAGTAACGCGGGGCGTGAGCGCCGTGCCGATCCGCTGCCAGCACCGCCCCGATCCTCTACTCGTCCTGACCCCGCCCTCAACACCTCTGACCCCGCCCTCAAAATCTTGCTTTAGCTTGGACCTCGCCTTAGGCACCGCATCCAAGACGGAAATCCGCCTGCACCTCTTCTTAGCCCTCAGGCTAAATCCTCCCTAAATCCTCCCATCACACTCTGCCTCTCCTCAATCTGCTTCGCCCCCCACCACACACCCACCCCAGCAGCCTTTGGCCACTACTGATTGGCAACTGCTCCATAGCTTCAGTCCATCCCTCCCTGCCCTGCCCACCTCAGCCGGAAGCCACATCTGCCCCTCTCAATGGCCTGCCGGGAGCAGGCCTAGAGGCCTCAATAGGGGGTAGTTCGTGGCTGACAATGAAGGGCTGGTGAGGCAGAACCTCAATGTTCCCACTTCCGAGAAGCAAAAGCCCTGGTGACACGCAGCAAAGGCAGTTTCTGTTAGGTCAAAAATGAAGACAAGAGAAAATGAGGGTAGAATGACCCAGAGTTCCATTTGGAAGAATGATAGGACAGACAGGAGTCCAGCCAAAACTGAGCTCTCTGGTCCCAGCCAAAAAACAAAACAGAAAACAAACAAACACCACCACTACCACCACCACCAACAACAAAGAAAACCCACCTGCACTTGAGAAGAGGCACAAGGAAAACTTGTAGGCCAACTAGCTCCTGGGAAACCAGAGGTCAAAGATAGGGGACCCAAATGTCTGTAAGCAGTTTGAACTAGATCACATAGGCTCCATCCTTAAAGACAGGAAGAAACTGACAATGTTCTAGCCTTTTTAGACATGACCCTTAGACCCTCCAGGGCCATTTGATTCCATAGGTTTCATTAATGGCTGTTGCAGGCCAAGCACTGTTCTAGGACACTGAGATCCATCCATGAACAAAAGACAAAATCCAAACCTTCCCCAGTAGGGAAGGGAAGGGGACCTCCCAGAACTTAAGGAGATCATAGAGAGCAAGCCCACAGGAACCATCACTGCAGGCCCTGTGACCAGCCTCATGGGCCAAGTAGATGAAAAGGGAAAGGCTGACCAGAAAAGTTGTATGGAAGCAGTTGCAACTCCATCCCAATGGGAAATGCCCAGCAGTTCCAGGCAGGAACTAGAGTGTAGAGCACCACTCAGAGGAATTCTGAGAGCCTTGCTGTAGCGTGCTCACAGAAGCGGAGAATAGCAGCCTCAAGAAACTGCCTCCATTCCAAAGTGTACACTGAACCAGTGTGGTTTCCCCCATGAAGCTGGCTCTGGGGTGGGAAGTACCCCTCAGATGGGCCTAGCTCACAGGGAGAAGGACAAGGGGAGTCCAAGAGCCAGCTGAGGCATGGGAAATGAGGAGGGTAGTTAGTCGAGGCTCACTGGCCTCTACTCTGCCCTGGACAGGAACTGGTATAGGAAAGAAAGTATGGGTTTTGTCATTAAAAGCCAATATACCATTTTCACTGTGGAGTACTAAGGTATCTTAAGGGTGGACTGTGAAGCCAGGTGTGGTTGAAGAATATCTGCAATCCCCCACGCTTGGGAGCCTGAAGTAGGAGGGTAGCCTTGAGAGCAAGGACACCTTGGTCTATACAGTACCAGGCCAGTCAGGATATACAGAAGACATTGTCTCAAAAAATAAACATAGCTGGGCGTGGTGGTGCACACCTGTAATCCCAGCACTCTGGCAGGCAGAGTCACGTGGATTACTGTGAGCTGGAGGCCAGCCTGGTCTACAAAGTGAGTGGAGGACAGCCAAGGCTACACAGAGAAACCCTGTCTCGAAAAAGTAAACAAAACAAAAAGCACTGTATCCATGGTTGAGGGCTGTGTAACTCAGGAAATGTACTGAAGCCATTAAAATGGGGGTTGAGAAGATGGCTCAGTGGATAAAATGCTTGCTGTGAAAGCATGAGGAACCGAGTTCAGATTTCCAGCACTCGTGTAAAGTGTCAGTGGGGAGGTGCAGGCCTGTAACCACAGTGCCAAGCAGAGCAGACACAGACGGATCCTGGAGGCTCCTAGCCAAACTGGCAAGCTCCAGCTTCAAATGAGACCTTGTCTTACAAAAGACAGTAAGACTCAACAGGCGTGGTGGTGCACACCTTTGATCCCAGCACTCAGGAGGCAGAAACAGGTGGATCTCTCTGAGTTCAAGGACAGCCTGGTCTACAAAGCCAGTCCAGGACAGCCAAGGATACACAGAGAAACCCTGTCTTGGAAAACAAACAAACAAACAAAGACACTGAAAAGAGGACACTGAAGATCAGCCTCAGGCCTCTGTAAAGTAACTTTTTCATTCACCTAATTGTCCTCTCAGAGGCTTACTTTCCTGTTTCCTTCTGCTAACCTAGACCTAGCCCTGGATGCTTCCAGCCTTGGCACAATCTTATCTAGGCCTAGAATGTTTTCAGCCTTTGAGACTTACTACTGAATAAGCTTACCCTTTCTAGCTCTTTCTGAACTCTGTCTGCCTTGGACAAGTCAGCTGTTCTGACTCAAACTCCTCTCCAAGCTGACTGATTCAATCTGGCTTCTCACTAACCTCTGCTTGGCCTCAAACTTACTCTAGCAATCTGTTCTAATCTTCTGGCTCCTTTTCATTCTCTGGCTGTCTAGCCTGTTCTCCCTCTTTTTTTCTTTCTTTTTTTTTTTTTTTTTTTCTTCAAGACAGTATTTCTCTGTGTAGCCCTGACTGTCCTGGAACTCACTATATAGACCAGGCTGGCCTCAAATTCAGAGATCCTCCTGCCTCTGCTTCCCAAGTGCTGGGGTTAAAGGCATTCACTACAACTGCCCAGCAGCTCTCTCTCTCTCTCTCTCTCTCTGTGTGTGTGTGTGTGTGTGTGTGTGTGTGTGTATGTGTTTTGAGACAGGGTTTCTCTGTGTATAGGCTTAGACTTGCTTTGTGGACCAGGCTGGCCTCAAACACAGAGATCCGGCTGCCTCTGCCCCCCAAGTGCTGCGAACCCCTCCTGGTAAAACTGCCTCTGAATTCCACAATCTGTACTGCCTCTCAACTCACTGACTCAACTTAACTCCTGAACAGAACTGACTAGAACTCAGAGATCTGCATGCCTCAGTCTCCTGAGTGCTGGGATTAAAGGCATGTACACCACACCTGGACCTAAGCTTTTCTTTATCTGAAACATGCTCTGTACCAGGCTGGCCTTGAACTGAAAGATCTGCTTGCCTTTGTCTCCTGGGATTAGAGGCGTTCTATAGTCTAGGGAGGATCACAAAGACCTAGAAGGTCTTTGGATGTGATCTCTTGCCAGAGTAGCCATGTTCTGAATTAAAATTCCTCTACCTGCCTCTACATATGAATGCATACATGAGCACAGACCCCTCCCCACCACACATACATGTGCACACATGCATACACACACACACTAAAATGTACACTTTTAAAGAATGTATTCTATGCGTGTAAATCACGCCTTAACAAATCCGCATTTCCTTTCTTTTGGCAGTAAATTTAAAAATACAGTGACTTTTTTTTAATGCATTATGTTCATCTGAGATAGGGCAGTTTAAAAATACGTATTCAATAAACTACTTTTCCTATAAAAAATATTGTCCTATTTCAATTGCAAATTTTGAAATAATATCTATCTCAAATTTGAGCAAGCCAAAGATTTAACATTTTTTAGAGGTTTTATTTTTTTTATTTATGTGTATATCTGGAGGCCACACGTGTGTGAGTGCCTGCAGAGGCCAGAAGAGGGCGTCGGACACCACAGAATCAGGGTCATAAGTGCCTGTGAACTGAGAACCACAAACTCAGATCCTCTCAGAACTGAGAACCACAAACTCAGAGTGGCAAGTGCTCTTAACCACAGAGCCATTGAACCATATCTCAAGCCCTCCACTGAAACAAAGGGTTTTTTTGTTTTTTGTTTTTAACATTTATTTATTTAGCCAGGCAGCGGTGTCTTTAATCCCAGCACTTGAAAGTCAGTTCAAGGCCAGCCTGGTCTACAGAGTAAGTTCCAGGATAGCCGGGGCTATACAAACTGTATCTGGAGGGTGGGGGAGAGAAAAAAAAATAATTTATAAGATGGTGAGATGGCTCACCCTTATAAGCCCCAATAAAAATAGAAACGAAGAAAAAAGTACTACAAAGATGACCGTATACCAATCATGATAACCTGTGTCCTTAATATAAGAATGGTTACTGCAAAATGTTGGAAAAATGAATATAAAAATAAAGCAAATAGGCTGGGACAGTCGAGACCTCAGTGCTCTGGCTGCTGCTGGCTGAGGTATGCAATATCCCTTTGGACAACTTTCAGCTCACCCAGGAGCCGTAGAAAGGGCAAGCATCTGTCTCCCCCCCTTCCCCAAAACCCAAGAGCCAGAAATACAGCCCATATGCTTCTGGTGATAGCCCTAACCTGCAGGCTTTGTCTCAACACTCAGTCCATCTCCCTCTTGGCTCCACTCCTCCAGCCTCCACCAATGATGTGTGGCCTCCCATTTCTACCACTGTCTCCCAGACCAGGCCCAGCCTCAGCTTCTGGCCTACCCTACAGGCTCCCACTTCCCGCCAAGCCCACCTACTGTAAGAGGGCTCACTCTGGCGTATGTTTACAGGACTTCAAGGGACATTCAGACCCCAGGAATGTCCAAATATTCAAGGCCCAGCTCTCCAGCCACAGTGTCTGCCCCCCACTGTCCCTGATGCCCTCCAACATGCTGGCCAGAAGGACCTGCATGGCACCACCCTCTTACCAGTCACTTTACAGAAAAGGAAACTTGGTTCAAACACTGCAGTGATTTGCCCCTGACGTCCTGGGATGCCGTGAGAAAGGAGAATCCAGCGCACAAGCCAAGCCTCAGCTGGAAGGAAGCAAATAGAACCAAGCTGACACTGGCTACCCCAGGAGCCTTTCTGTTCCTGAGTCGAGACAGGCTTGGAGGTGGACCAGGCCTGCATGTCCCTGTCAGGTGAGCATGGACATGAGAAAACCCTACCTGAGGCCCCTTCTGCGGACTGTGAGGAAACAAGAATAGGTTGCTGCCATTTATCCAACCGTTGAGCCAATGTTCTAGGTTAAAGTTGGGCATGAGCCAGGCAAGTTTCCATCCACTCGTGGTATGTACAGTCAAGAGTGAGAACTTGGAGTCAGGGACTGTCTTAGTTATGTTTCCTATTGCTGTGATGAAATACCATGAGCAAAAAACAAGTTGGGGAAGAAAGAGGTTTATTTGGCTTACACTTCCAAGTGGTAGTCCATCATTGGAGAAAGCCAGGTCAGGAATTCAAACATGGAAGGAACATGGAGGCAGGAGCTGGTGTAGAAGCCATAGAGGAAAGTATGTAAGCAAAGTATGTTGCTTACTTTCTTGCTTCCTCTGGTTTGTTTTGTTTTTTGTTTTTTTCTTTTAAGATATGATTTCTCTGTGTAGTCCTGGAACTCACTCTGTAGACCAGGCTGGCCTCAAACTCAAGATCCGCCTGCCTCTGCCTCCTGAACGCTGAACTTAAAATTGTGACTCACCACCTGACTCAGCCTGCTTTCTTAAAGAACCCAGGACCACCAGCCCAGGGGTGGCCCTGTCCATTACGGACTGGGTCCTCCTTATATGGATCAGTAATTAAGAGGAAAAAAAAAAAACAAAACTGTTTTCAGATGACTCTTAGTTTGTAGCAGAAAGCCACCTGTAGCAGTCTTTCATAAAACTCTACTTTATTTGGGTTGTTTAGGCTTCTACCTCCCTTCCACCAACCCCCCCCCAACCTTAAGTAGGAGAGAGAGAAGGTTAGTGGGTACAGAGGGTTCAGACCCCTCTACTTCTTCCAACTAGTTAGGGTCAAGGGGTTCTTTTAGGCTCTAAACAAATCTCCATCAACTGCAGACACAGCCAGCAGGCTCCTCCACGCCACTGCACCCCGAAGCATTTCTCTCCATCTGTCTGCTCCAAAGCACCACAACCATCTTTGGTCCCTGGTCTCTCCAAACTGCTCCATGCCACATGCCAACACCGAACACTACGCGTACCTTGTCTTCTCTTTCTCGGCTCTCAGAGCCCTAGACCACACCCCTCTCCATGCCTCACACTGGCAAAAATCACACCCCACACATTAACAGGTGTGGACAAACTATAGCCCAACTAAAATCCCACACTTGGAATTAAAACAAAAACATGTTTATGTAACATACAAAGAAACCAAAATTTTCATTACACTAGTTCATGTCAAGTTGACATAAAAATAGCTGGCACAGGAGCTATACATACAAAGAAAGAAAGGACAGGGAGGAAGACAGTTGAAGTCTTGGCTAGGGAAGGAGGCACCTGTCCTGAAGAAAAAAATAAGAGACTATTTTAGATTCACAGGACGGAGGTGGGCTAAGGAGAGGAGGGGAGGAGATGAAAATACACCTATGAAAAGTCATCTTTCCAGAAATGGCAAATAGGATTAAACCTTACATGCACATTAAAAGACACTTTGTTGACCACTGGTTACCAAGACTGGGTTTGACCCCTTACAGAAACCCAGTTAGGCCAAGATGACCACATCTACATCAGTTGGCCCGGTTGGCTTCCACTGTCCCTAGGCCTGGAAAAGAGCCCTGGACAGACCTGCCCTCGGTACTCAGGTACTGCTGGGGCCCCCACCAAGGACACCAGTGGCAGGCCACTTAACTCTACGCAGAGCCTGTTTCTGTAAGTGCAAAATCTAACTAGTCTACCCTGCAACCCAGGACATACCAAGAAAACCTCCCAGAGAGCTTAAAAGCTTAATACCTGAAGGCCCAGCGCCCTCAGCTTTCAGATAAGCCTGGCCTCCCCAGGGCCTTCCAAAGGCTCAGACTTATCTAGTCTGTCCCTCACGATTCTCTGATGCCTCTGGCGATGCCACAGGACTTCGAAGATCGCAGGGCAAACAGAGCTCCAGGTGCTGGAATCTGGAGTACAGAAGTCGAGGCGAGGCCCAGAAGAAACCCTCTCCATGCTTTCCTAAGCCCAACAACAACAAAAAAAAAAACAGGCCCTGGCTGGTGCTAGGCCCTTATCCTCCTGCCTCTGAGGGTTGCCTTCTCCCTATACACAGGGAGTCTCTGTGGCTCATGAGTCTCTGCCCGTCTTCCCCCCATCAGGGAGGGTCCAAGAGAAGTTTTCTACTAGCTAGGTCTCACCTTCTTTGCTCTGAACCTTCATGAACTCAAAGCTCCTTGAAGAGTCAGCCAGCATAGCCACTGTTTGGCTCACTCCAAGATGGCCACTTTCAACAACATAGCTCTGCCTTCCTCCATGATACTGCTCCCACAGGCAAACTCTCCCCAGCCTCTGAACAGCCCACATCCTTTCCATGGGATGAGCTTCTCCAAAGCAAGAACCCTGCTCCCTCGGCCTGGGTTGGATCCCTATGCCCAAGGGAGGGCCGTTTACTACTGATGCTCCTACTACCCTCAGAACAGGAGGCCTGGGGCCCATGCTGCTCGGGCTTGGACACCTTGCAGGAGGTTCCTGATAGACAGTCGAGGCTCAGCTCAAATAGATGCTCTGGATTCAGCCACTGAGTATCTACCATGTGCACTCACAGAGGCCAGCACACAGCCATCCTCAGCTGTGAACATAAGCGGGTGGTGTGTGCATGCCAGGTGCAGTCTTGGGATCTGTACCACTCCTGGTACCATCACCCACTCTACAACACCCCCTCCACACACGGGCACGCAGGCACACACGCGAGCACATACACACACAAACGCACACACGTACACACAGTGTTCAGCGCCTTCCATGACCAACAGCATGTCATCTCAGTCTAGATACACCACAGAACAGAGTCCGGGCACAGATGTTTCCTTCCTTCTTAAAATCTTTAATACGAGCAGCTTTCTCTGAAACAAGTTATAAAAGTAAAGCTGCAAACTCAAAGCTCCTGTCTACAAGACAGAAGAGGGTGGAGCTGCTCTCACAGAGGGGTCACGGCAAAGTAAAGCAGTGCCTGGCACAGCAGGTGTTTCCCCCGATCCCCACGGAATCCCATCTCAGGGAAGACACACCATCTGTTTCCCAGAGAAGGTACAGCTTTGAATTTGAATATGATTTGAAAAAAAAAAAAAAAAAAAATCATGTTTTTTTAATGTTGGCTACCAATTGATCTTTTTTATTTCCAAAAAAATCATAGTACAAGACAATAAATTTTCAGATAGCTGATTTTATATATTCCAAAATAAAAATAAATGGATCCATATGTAGCAAACACATCTGTACAAAGGTAATGTTTACAGTCTTTGTACCCTGACAGCTTACCGGGAAGTCAGGGACAGGGCCCTACACCGTGGGAAAGGCCCAGGGCCTCCCAGCCACAGCCAGCCCAGGCACAGCCCAGGGCGCCAATGCAGACAGCGTGACCATGGGCTCACAAGCACACCCACCAGGTCTTCCAGAGTCTAGGAAGGGCTCTGGCTTATCCTAGTACCCCAGGAGACGCTTGGCTTCTTCACTCTGCGCCTGCAGCGTCTCACTTGCGTATTTCTGGAGCAGTTCCATTTTCTTCCTCCGTACAAGAGCCTCCTCGATCTGTGGACACCCACAGGAAAGAAGTCACCCCTCGGCGAGGACCCCACCTCTATCAGCCCGAGCAGGGGAGACCTGCAGGGACACGGTCGGCAAGTCTGACTTGCACTAGGCTTATTCCAGGAGTCTGCGGGATCCCAGGCCTTCCCCCGGGCAGCAGCCAGTCAAAGCTCATGCTCATCAGTCCCTCAAGAGGTTCCCGCCCATCGTGGACCCACCCTCTGTGAACACCGCAGTGAGCACCACATGGTGGGGATTAAAGACTGTGCAGTGAGGTGGAAGGACAGGGAACACCCAGGAAGTGAGCCCAGGTGGAGCAATGGCTCAGGCAGCAGTCCTACCTCCTGCTGCGATGGCACCGGAACATGAGCAATAAACTTCTGCTGGCCATCTTCCCCTGCCTTCTCCTGGCTGCCTTCCTCATCCGACTGCAGAAGAGAAGCGTACAACCCGTGAGCAGGTAACCAGTGACACAGGCACTGACATTTCTGTAGAAAATGTCATTCAGTTGGGCCTGGTGGCACAAACCTGTAATACCTGTAACCCCACACACTTGCGGAGCTTAGGCAAGAGAGGCCTGCCTCAAGCTCCAGCCAGCCTGTGATACAGAGACCCTGTCTCCAAAAATAACAATAAAAGTACATGGGACTGAAGAGTAATTTTTAAGGCCTGCCTGAACAACATAATGACACTCTATCTCACAAAAAGAGACCTGGGAACAGAGCTCTGTAGCAGAGAGCTTACTTTCCCAGTGCCACAAAAACAAGCAAAAAGCACTTAGGACAGCTACAATTATTTAAAAGGAAAAGAAATCTTTTCCATTGTTTTTACACAAAGAAAATGCCTATTGGGGGGAACCCCCCAGCACCAAACTTGTCTGTGCTGGACCGCTGGCCTGCCATCTGTCCTCTCTCATCACAGCATCTCCAAGCACATGCTGCTTGCTTTCCTCCTGCGCCTCACAGAGCATGGTGTATTTAGGCCACTGACTAAACACCTGAAGAATCAAGCGAGTGTCTGTAACCCAGAGAAACCCCAGGGTATGCTGCCATCCTGCTTTAAACGCTTTACTGATCTCTACTGCAAGCCAGCTGGACCTATGCGGGAGCTTCCATATCTGGTAACATATCCACTAAGTCATCAGACCTGTCTCCAAACCTGCTTCTTGGCCAGGGATGTACAAGCAAGTTCCATCAACTGTAAATGGAAAATCTGCCTCCTCTCCCCTGTCTTGGAACAGCAAATCAGATGTGTTCTGTCTGGTCCATGCTGGACCCAATAGAAGAATCTGGATCCAGACGCTCTGTGAGAGAGGTGTGGACCACAGCCCCACCCCTGGTCACCAGAAGCCCATAGGCCTGTTTCCACCTGTGAAATCGGTATGGACAAAAGTGCTAAGGCCGTGGACTAAAGTACACGTGACCTCAACCTGGTTTAAAAACGGTCCTACATCATTTGAGAGAACTGACCTGTTAGAAGGGAGCTAACAAGAGCTCCCTTAGTCCTTCCTGTCTGGAACCCTCCCCATGCTCCTGCGAAGGGTCATCACAGGTGAAGAAGCTGGGCTCTGAGCCATGGCCCAGGCTCTTTCCTGGTGACTGCAGCCCAGAGAAGAGGACAAGAATAGACAGGACCATGCCCATACCTCCTCCTCGGTGACAGCATAGATGTTTATCTCCTCTTCCTCCTCCTCCTCCTCTTCCTTTTCTCCCCTTGCCAGCCGAGCCTCTCTCTCTGCTTTCCATTTTTCCACCAGCTCAGCTCTGACTGAAGACAGAGGAACATTTCACTGGGCTGGGCAGCCAAGATGTCCCCTTTGGAAAAGGACATGCTGATTCTGCCCTGGAGGGTGAAAATGGCTACAAAGGACAGTCTGTCCTACAGTGCCTGTAGCCGTAAGGCAGAGCACGGCAGTGTTTGGGAGAATGTCTCCTGATCTCTTCAGGCTGACTGACATGCATACATGAAAAGGGGAAGGACACATGCACACATGCTGGGCCTCACTCTCACCAAGCACTTTCAGAATTCTATTGGGAACTGCCATGGCCCCACTCCTCAGGCTGCCATGGCCGGTGTGCCATGCCGAGAGGAAGCACTAGCTCATACAGACAGCAACTCCCTCTCCATCAGTAAGCCGTCGGCTAAGGACAGTCTAAAAAATTCTAGTATGGGTACTGTTAAACAAGTTCAAGAAAAGCTTAGGAGTATTTAGACTGTGATCTCCCAGAAACTGGATCAAGACAGAAGACCTGAGGCTTCACCGGCCGTTCCAGACCCAGTATAACCAACTGCCTCACCTTCCACCTAACATTTTAAACCATTTTCAAGGGAGAGAATAGAAGCCAGGTGCAGCTGACATGGCTGCAGACATACGTTTCTTTTCATACTCTTGTTCCAAAGGCACAATAACTCCATCATCTTCATCCAGGTAACCATAGTATTCAAAATCGATCGCCTTCATAAGCTCTGCACGTGTCTTTCTGGGAGGAGGAAGGGCTACAAGAAATGGCAGCAACTTAGCTGAATGCTCATCAAGATCATCCTTGAGCCAACCCTTTTCTCCATGCCGTGCTAGAGCCACATAGGACACATGTCAGCACTTCCCCATGTCATACGTGGAACCAACTGAGTGGGCCTGCCTACCTTCCCTAAAGCTCATGCTTTGGTCCGATGAGTGGAATCTGATTAAAGAAGTCTAACTTTGGGCTAAGGGACTAGGCCAGCGATTAGAATCCTTGCTTCACATGCGCGAGGTCCTGAGTTCAACCCTCAGCATTACAAAAATGGATAAATACCAAGTAAATAAATGGAACCTATATGATTAAATAAACAGAGCTGGGGATGTGGATCGATGGTGACCTGTGTTTAGTGAGCCCCAGGTCCCAGGCTCAGTATGAAGCACTTTTTAGCAATACCCCCCAAAACCACAGGTCCACAATAAAGTTTTGTAGGCAGAGAAATAGATCTCAGGACTATTCATACGGCAGCGGAAACAACAAGGATAACCTAATAGTACAGGGCATGGCATGGGGTTTCCTGAATCTCTTTAATGCTGTTTTACAAGGTGTCTTAACAACACAGGACATGGCATAATGTTAGCTGACACAAACAAATATACAGAAAAAGAAACCAGATGGAGGGCAATGAAGCATTCTGAAGAAGCATCTCAAACTAAGGACAACTACCTGGAATATGAGTGAAATTATCAAAGGGAAGTCAAATGATAATTACAATCTAACACTGGTCAAAGAACAGAAGTTGACCACTAAAGAAGAAAAAATATGGAGGCTAAAGAGATGTTTCAGTGGTTAAGAGCACTAGGATGTAGGCGTGGTTTCCAGCAGCCACACAGCAGCTCACAACCATCTGTAACTTCAATTTCAGGGAGGATCTAACATTCTCTTCTGGATTTTGAGGGCACTGCATGCATGTGCACAGATACTATGCAGACAGAAATATCTATACACAGAAAATAAAAATATAATATCAAAAACTGTTTTAAAAATGCATCTGTATGAACAACACCACTGATAATTAAACTTAATTATCAACTTTATTAATCACAGAAGTAAGCAGGGAATGGTAGCAAATAACCTGACTCCAGGACCACGTAACACGCTCCCGGCTGGCTTAGGCTGCACAGTACGACCCTGTCTCAAAACAAAACAGGGCCATGGCTCAGCAGCTAAAAGTGCTTGCTATGCAAGCCTGACAACCTGACTCCAATACCCGGAACCATGTAAAAAGCCAGATGCAGTAGCACACATCTGTAAATCCAGAACTCCTGCATCAAGGAGGGAAGCAGAAACAGGAGAATTGTGAGAGAACCAGCTAGCCTAGCATACACAGCACAGAAGCTGAAACAAGAGAAAGCCCGTCTCAAATACGGCAGGAGAGAACCAAGTCCCAAAAGCCTGTTCCCCACATGCACCCTGGAGCACACATGTGCCTGCACTTACACATGAACACATCATTTTTAAAATCACCAAAATCTTCTAATTAGAAATAAAGGCCTACCAACAGAAGAATGGTTAAATCCGAGCCACATAGATCCTTATTTTCCTTTTGGTGCTAAGGATCAAGTCCAGAGCCTCCTCACACAAGCTCAGCAAATGCTTCACCATCAATTTATACCCTATACATGTTAATCCCTCATAAGCATACATCAGGGGTGTCACAAGAGGAATGGGACGCCATGTTCTGGCAGACCTCCACTCACTGCCCAACAACGACAACTTTATCTGCCACTTTAAGCTATGTCCTGTGAAGGGGTGGTCATCACATGGCTGAAGCTAAAGCACTGGCTTCCTCGTGACCACAAGGACTAGTTTAAAGTTCAATCATGTGAAAGAATAGAAGAAAGGTAGACTTTAGTCAACTGGGATTGATGAATCTTTCACCTAATTTGGATAAAAATAAGTCTTGAAAGGGGCGTAGGAGAAAACAAGAATAATGGTTCCCAGTCACCTCTACAGGGGTCCTTAAGCGGGGCAGCAAGAGGACTTAAACCTCTTTTTCATTATACACAGAAGGAGTGAACATATGCAAACCACTCCTGAGCCAGGCGTGGTAACACAGGAGACTGAGGCAGGGGATCACCTGAGCCTTTGAGCTCATGAGTTAAAGACATGCCTGGGTAACACTGACAGACTCTCTGTCAACAGTAACAAAGCCTACAGCTCAAATAGAAATACAATAATTCCTGTGCTGTTGCATATAACTCAGTTGCAATAAACAAAGGCCAACACCTTCTCACACTTGAGCTACTTACGTTCTTTCTCGAATAGTTCTCTGACACCAGGTAAATCTTTTGCTGCCCCAAAGTACTTGTAACCTCGGTTTCCTGGGACTTCTTTACCTTCATGATCCAGCATCTTAGGGCCAACTTTCTTATTGGGAAAGAAAAAGGAAGAATGGATCTGATGCATAAACGTACATTTCTGAGTTTACAGTACATTTTGAGCTAATAATGTCACACACGGAGAACACTCCACACAGAAAAACATTTGCGCATTCTTTAAAGATTTATTTATTTATTTTATGTATATGAGTGCTCTATCTGCTGTGTACCTGCGTGCCAGAAGAGGGCATGAGTTCACATTATAGATGGTTGTAAGCCACTATGTGGTTACTGGGAACTGAACTTAGGACCTCTGGAAGAGCAGTCGGTGCTCTTAACCTCTGAGCCATCTCTCCACCCCATTTGTGCATTTTTCAAACCCCTTAAAAATTAACCTAGGGAATACAATTCAGAGTAGAGTGTTCACCTAGCATGCAAGTAGCCCAGCACCACAAAAGGTTTTAAAAAATAAAAGAAGTGGCCTGACATGGTACATGTTAAATTTCATCACTGACAGGGCTGAGGAAGGCGGCCTGAGGACCTGAGCTCAATTCCCCAGGGCCCACATGGCGGAAGAGAAAAATGCCTTCCACGAGCTGCCCTCTGCCCACCAAATGTGCGTGGTGGCATGTACTGTGCCCACAGGCAAATTAAGGAGTAAAGGGGATAAATAAATGTCGCTATGGAAGATTAAAAACCGAAAGGAAAAACCAACAGGCCTGAGGATGTAGCTCAGCACGGTGCTTGCCTAGCCCAGAATAAATCTGGGTGGTGGAGCATGGCTATATCCTCAGCACTTGAGAGCCGGAGGCAGGAAGTCTGCTACAAGTCCAAGGCTGGTTAGGCTACAGAGTATCAGACCAGCCTTGGCTACAGAGTGAGGGCCTAGCTAACTCAGTACAGGCCTTGCCTAACTTGCACAAGGTCCTAGAGTCAGTCCTCAGCACCACATAAAACCAGGCTCAGTGCGACATGCTTGAAACTCCAGCACCCAGGAGGTAGAGGCAGAAGGCACAAGTTCAATGTTAACCTTGGTTACTTCAAGGCCAATCTGAATTACATGATACACTGTCTCAAAATAATAACAATATCAAAATAAGACAGAGAGGAAAATGCCAAAGTACATCACAGAATTTTCTCAGCACATTTTTGTATGTACCACATTGTTGTATAAAATGTGTATGCTGGGGCTAGAGAAATGGCTTATACCTCAGACACATCCTGCTCCTGCAGAGGATCTGAGCTCAATCTACCTCAGGAAACTCATGTTCTCTCTCTCTCATACACACACACAAATCTAAATTTAGAATAAAATATAGAGTGGGTGCCAGCCCTGGTGGTACAAGACTTTAATCCCAGCAGAGGCAGGTGGATCTCTGTGAGTTCAAAACCAGCCTGGTCTACATAGTGAGTTCCAGGACAGGCAGAGAGTCTCTACAAAATAGAAAGACCTTGTCTCTAAATAAATAAATAAACAAAATAAACAAAGTGTGGGTACATGTGACTTACTATAATCATGGGAGGGGACACACACAACAGACAGGAATGTCTCTGGGAGCTCAGGGAAGAACGTGAGATGGCATGGCCTAGGCTGGACCCAAGCCATGCAGTATTTCAGGACTGTGAAATACTTTTCACAGGTATTCTGCCCAAATGTAACAGCTGCTTTTCAACCCTCTATCGCGATCAGCCGGCCTCTCTTGGACTGAATCCATAGGCGATGCTCAGCCAGGCACACACTTCAAACAGCTCAGCAGTCTGTCCCAGGAGCTATAGCCTACTTACTCCATAATCAGGACCACCCAGCTCTTTGATGCGGGCCTCCCAGTGTCCTTTCTCCCGTAGCAGCTTGTTAATTTCATCATTCAGGTCTCGAATTCGAAATTCTCCTAACCCAGCTAGAAAACAAAAATGTTAATATCATTTCTTCAAGATGGTATGCCCTAAAACAATGACTGTCAACAGTTCCATTACACAGACTCAACGTCACAGCTTCAAGAGGATGGCAACACACCCAATGATATACTACATAAAAACTGCTCATTTAAATTGATAAGAAAAGGCCTGGTGTGGTGGTGCATTCCTTTAATCCAAGCACTCAGGGGGCAGAGGCAGGCAGATTGCCATGAGTTCTTGGTCAGCCTGGATTACATAATGAGCTCCAGCCTAGTCAGGGATACACAGTGAGGGCCCATCTCAAAAATAAATAAATAAAAATTTTAAAATAAAATAAATTGATAAGAAAAATCAACACCAAAATAAAGAAAGACCAAGTACTGTAAACATAAATTCCCAATACTATAGGGTTAAAAAATTCTTTAAAAAACTTTACCCCCACCAAGTGGTGGTGATACACACCTTTAATCCCAGCACTTGGAAGGCAGAGGCAGGTGGATTTAAAAGAGTCTAAGGCCAGACTGGTCTACAGAGTAAATTCCAGGACAGCCAAGGCTACACACACACACACACACACACACACACACACACACACACACTAAACAAACAAACAAACAAAAACTTATCCCTTAGTAGGAACCCAAAAAATATAAATGGAAAACCCACAGCTGGCGTAATGGCGCACACCTTTACACCTTTAGTCCCAGCGCTGGGGCAGGCAGATCACTGTGAGTGAGACCAGCCTGATCTACAAAGCTAGTCCGCGACAGCCAAGGCTACACAGAGAAACCCTGTTTCAAAATCAAAAAAATAAGGAAAAAAAAAAAAAAAAGGAAAACCTTCTATATTATTTACACCAAATTAAAATGAACAGTTAGCCGGGCTGAGGTGATGCACACCTCTAGTCCCAGCACCCAGGGAGGCAGAGGCAAGCAGATCTTTGTGTGTTCAAGGACAGCCTGGTCTACAGAGCGAGTCTAAGACAGCCAGGGCTACACAGAGAAACCCTGTCTCAAAAATCAAAAAGAATAAAATAAAATAAGTTACGTGAACAGTTAAGGTTGAAAGCAACAGTCTCCAAGCCAAGCAAAGATTCAGCGAACCTGGCTGAAGCACCAGTGGCCAGCACCATGCTATGCTGCTTTACCCTCTCAGGAAAGCAGTGTGTAGCTAGGGGGACTCTTTTTGACAGAGGCTATGGACTTGACAGACACCCTGAGCGACCAGCTGAAAAAGAAGCCCACAAAGTGCTTGTAAAGTGCTGGCTATGCGGCTATGGACTGGACACAGATGGACACCACAGCAAAGATGACGGGACCGTGGGTGACCGCACAAGTTGAAAGCCTTCAAGAGTCCCAGCAAGGTCTGTGTTAGGCAAAGCTAAATGGAATGAAACTCAAAATGGGTAGGTGGGAATACTGTGCAGTGAGGGTCCCAGGCTGGTCTGCCGGTGTGACAGCTTATACAGATGCGTAAGTCAGCCCAAATTCAGCCCACTTTATGTTAGAGATGGCGCACTCCATCCTGAACAAGTCCATTAAAAACAAAAAAGATAAGGATGGAGAGAGAGCTGCATGGGTAAGAGCGCTTGCTGCTCCTCAGAGGACCTGAGTTAGGGTCCAGCACCCACACCAGGCAGCTCACGACTGTGACTTCGGCTGTAAAGGATCTGATGCCCTCTTCTAGTCTTAGCAGGCACCCGAACCCACGTGAACATACACACACATCAAACACATGACTGAAAAAAAAAGACTGGCAGTGCATAGCCATTTCACTATTCTGGAGGCTGAGGAGAGAGGAAAAGAGCTTCAGGCATGCCTGGCTAGAATGCAAAGTCGCCTAAACAAGACCTTTCCTCAAAATAGCTACAATTAAAAATAGAGAACACCAAGTAGAACAAATATGCAAACACATTTACAAACACCCATTCCCGTGTTCTAGCTTCTTAAGCAAGCAAAAGACCCATTCCTTCCATTTGGAGGATGTGCAATTCTATAGTCAAAGAAACTCAAAGCAACTAGTCTTCCCAAAACAAAGCTAACGCTTACAAAGAAAGAGAGGAGAAAGAGGAGAAGGAAAATTCTGTTTTAGTATCTTCTCAGGAAGAAGACAGAGGAGGAGGAGGAGGAAGAAAGAAGTGGGAGGAAGAGAGTCTCTTCTCATTGACATTTTGAAAATCTCACTAGAAGCTGTGTGTGATGGGGCATGCCTGTAAGTTGGCAGTAGAAAGACGAAGGTTTCAGACAGGAACTATCTTGGTAGACCAGGCTGGCCCTGAACTCAGAGCCTGCCTCTACCTCCCTGAGTGCTGGAATCAAAACTGTACACTGCTTCAACCAGTATATTCAGTTAGTTTCCAAACCTGAGTTATAACCTTAAACACAAGGCCATCTTACTTGAGCCTCTCATTTGCTGATGCTATGAATGTCAACAACACAAAAGCATTAATTTTTAAGTATGTAGGCATTTTCTTCCTGTTGTTATTATCAGAAAATTTAATTCGTAAGATTTCAATTATTTTTAATTTCCTGACTCTTGTAGTCTGGCCTAGAATATGTTCTATTTTGGTGACTGATTTGTGTGCTCCTATAAGGGAAATAGAATAAATAGTTATGGATGGATGTGGGGGTGAATGGGAGGATCACGTAGGAGGGCTAGGGAAAGGGCACTGTGTGAGGAAATACAGGGAGAAACAGCTAAACTTAAGAGGCATTTGAGGGGTAGTAGAAAAACAATACAGCAGAAACTTCCTAAAATTTATTGATGCTAAAGGTGATCATCTCTTGTCACCAAATGAGACTGGGTTACGTCTAATTGAATTGTTGGCCAAAGGGGACCCACAGGAATACTTAAAAACAACCCAGGCTGTTCCCAAGACTACAGGTTGCTGTCCAAAAACTGACAGCAAGGCACCACTGCTGAAGACAATACCTACACAACTCATGGAAATGGAGATGTGCAGCTGGTGCCTACACAGACCTTTCACCCCTATATTCCAGCTTCTTTGGTAGAGGACCATACTCTGCATGTTTTCAAAAGGGAAACTTAAATGCCAAGACAACCACAAACCTTTTGATCTACAATGGTGTCCTGCCTGCAAGATATGCTAGGGCAATGGTGGCACAAAGCTTACGGTAGTGACCAAGGAGAACTGGTTTGACTTAAGGCCCACTCCATGAGATGGAACCCACACCTGACACTGGGTAGCCAAGAACCTGAGACCAAGATAACCCAGGAACCTAGGGAAAAAAACAATAATACTGGTCTAAAAACAGAAAAAAAAAAAAATGCAGTGATAAAATGAATCTTAATGAGATTCATAGATGAGTGCCTTCTTCAGCTGTCATCAGAGAGCGGCTTCCCCCGCAGTAGATGGGAACAAACAGAGCACCACAGCCAGACATTCCACAGAGAATGAGAGACCCTGGAGCACTCAGCCCTAATGGAATGTCTCCATCAGTTCTCGACCCTTGAAGGACAGTGATGGCACAGGCTTTTAATCCCAGCACTAGGGAGACAGAGGCAGGTGGATCTCTGTGTTGGAGGCCAGCCTGGTCTACAGAGTGAGTTCTAGGACAGCCAACAATACACAGAGAAACCCTGTCTCAAAAAAAACAAACCAAACAAAAACAACAACAATAATAATACAGTTAAGTGGAATGTTATTTGGTGCTGGATTCTATAAATGTCACCTAGGTTAAGCTGACAAAGTTTTATGAGTTCATGTTTGTTTTGCTTGAGCCTCCAGTGTGCTGTGTAGCTGTAAGCAGTCCTCAGAGCTCCTGCCTGCACCTCCCTGACACTGGGATCCGGGCATGTACCACGCCTGGGCCAGTGTTCACATCTTCCACGGCCTCGTTAATTTCCTATCTGCTTTTCTTATTGGTCCTTACGAGGAGTGCTGAGTTCCCCACATCCAACTGTATGTGCTCCAACACTTTAAAGGAAAGTCAGCTTACCATTCTGAATCTGGGCAACTTTTTTTGAGATCTCTCCAATGATCTGTGAAGAAAATAAGTAACAGGCACACGTTCATGATTTTTGACCATAACTCAAAGTACAGGAAAACTGTAATTCACAAGTACCAAAAATACTTTAATTCCACCACTGGGGAGGCAGAGGCAGATATATCTCTCTAGGTTCAAGGACAGTTTGGTCTACACAGTAAATTCCAGGCCAGCCAGGACTATAAATTGAGACTATGACTCAAGAAACAAAAACAACTCCAGGCAGTGGTGATGCATACCTTTAAGCCCAACACTAATGAAGCAGAGGTACTTGGATCTCTGTGAGCTAGAGGCCAGCCTGGTCTAGAGATTAAGTTCCACGAGAGCCAGAGCTACACAGAAAAAACCTGTCTTGAAAAAACAAAAACAAAAACAGCCTTTAATCCCAGCACTCAGGAGAGGCAGGCAGATCTCTCAGTTTGAGACCAGCTTGGTCTACAGAGTAAGTTCCAGGACAGCCAGGACTATACAGAGAAACCCTGTCTCAAAAACAAAAAACAAAACAAAACAAAAGAAAAAATAAATAAAAACAGCCTTTAATCTCAGCACTCCAGAGGAAGAGGCAGGCAGTTCTCTTAGTTTGAGGACAGCCTGGTATACATAGAGATAGCCAGAAATACAAAAATAGACCCAGTCAAAAAAAAATATATTTAAATTCTGGTTAATAATCGAGATAAAAACAAAAAGAAACAAGCAGAGGCATTACTTCTATTGAGATCAGGTTTACCCGAACATACCTGTCGTCTCCATTTCTCAGCTTTGGGCAGCTCAGTACATTCAGAAGCAAGGAAGGGTCTTCGTTCCTGAGGAGGAGAGGAACACATATTGCCCCTAGGCCCTCGACACACTGAAGTGCCACCCACAACCGAGTGAGGCTTGAAACCTAAAATATCTAATGCTCTAAATATGCTTGAAGTCACAGTGCAAGAGGATGTCCAGGTCCTAACCCTCACTCTTCAATCTCTTCTTGGAAACTATATAATTAGGATATACAATTACTCAAGGAACTGTCTAGTTAAAATAAATATTTGCAAATATACAATCTCTCCAGGCCCACCCTCCACCTTCTTATAGTCAATATTAGAGCTAGAATATCTGGTCACCTACACATTATTTTACATAAAAAAGGAAGAATCAAGAGGCAGATAACCACACCGCCCCAACAGAAAAGAGGGTAGACCAGAAGTCCCAGTGCATACACCGCAAGCAGGCAGGAGAGCTGCGGTCTGAAGCCTAGGGAGTCTCAGTGCATTTGCTTTTGATGCTTCCAGAGAATGAGACTTCACTCACCTTGACTTTTCCCTCTTCCAGCTGAGCTTGACGGAATCTTGCCAGGGCAGTCCTGCCAGGGACACAAAAGACCCTGTTAGATTTCTTATCACTCAGGTTCCTGGATTGGGTAGGTCAATTCATGACCACATCTAACATCATTCATGTAAGTGGTAATAAAGAAAGCAGAGTAGCTAAGGATTTTTGTGTTCCAAGGGGTAGGCATCTAACACAGTCTGTGTTTCTAAACACTCAAGTGTCTACTCTATATGGAATCTATATGGGGAAACTCTGTCAGACAGCTTCGGTACGCAATATACAGAAATGCTAAAAGATTAACATCAGGGATACCCTTGCTATCATTCCCAACCCATGCACAGGTGGAAAAATGTTTATCCACTATAAGTTCTAGAAGGTGTCAGACAACATAAATGGGAAAAATAAACACAAGCAAACACAGAAGTGCTATTTTAACACAGAGAGAGAAGAAACCACTTCTAGATAGACTTCTACCAACAGAATCACATACAAGTTCTATGCTACTTATTAAATCTCAAAATTTTCAGCCCCAAGTAAGCTGATACTCACATGGCTTTTTCTGCATTTCGAGCCTAGACAGAGACAAGGGAAGAAAACACCAAGTTTAGAGCAACTATTTTTTTTTCTTGTGGTTGATTTTAAATGGCAGAACTTTTTTTTTAATTTATATGTGTGCGTGCCTGCTGGTCTGTATGGGCACTATGTGTGCACAGTAGCCGGATAAGAACGTCAGTCCCATGGAACTAGAGTAGAGGCAACTGCAAGCCACCTGCTATGGACGCTGGGAGCCAAACCTGGGTGTTCTTCATGAACAGTAAGTTTTCCTAACCACTAAAACAACTCCCCTGCCCCTAAAATACCCTTTATCACTTCTATTGTTTTGTGTGTTTGGTAGGTTGGTTAGTATTTGTTTTTTTGAGACAGGATCTCATTCTGTAGCCTTGGCTGTCCTGAAACTCGCTCTGAGATTAAAGGCATTCAACACTACCACCTGGCTTCTCTTTTATTTTTTTTAATTATTTATTTATTTTCGAGGCAGGGTTTATTTTTTTATAATCATACACATGTGTTAAATATACTGTGATCATAGCCACTGAGCTCTCTGATCCCGCTCTCACTCCTCCTAGGATTACCTATGAACCACCATGCAGTGCTCTGACCAGAAAACAGTATAACTGTCTGTCTGTTCCCTACTAGTGAGACTCAGAGAAAGTACCAAGGCTGGCTTTTGCAATGTGACTTTCACATCAGTAGTAAGTCAACGATCCTTGAACCACAGGGTCAGGAAGAGCACACATTTTTTCTTCGGGTGGGTGGTCGACTACACAGAAAGAGTACTTGCTAAACTTGGAACTTAGATTTTTCTGGCCACTCTTCCTCTCACCATCACTAAGACCTGGCCTCACTAAAACCTGTTTCCATTCACACCAAATACCATAGCTTTTATCCCATCATGTTGTAATGACTTACTCAGATAAATTCAGGAACATCACAGACACACAGTTTAAAGAGTAAGCAAGGCAAGTCTAATTTAACTTGCCCTTCAGATTCTCCCTTCCAATCAACTCTGAAAGAAACCTGGCAGGAGGTGGGGGCCTAAATGAACACAACAGCAACACAGGACACACCCGCCTTCAGAAACAGCTGCTTCAAGACCACTGTTTTCTCTCCTTAGGATTCTGTACTGAACAGTCTATAGCGGCTCCCTAAATTTTTACATATCTATTTTTATTTAACAGGATTATAGATCTGTTTATACCTATGTACATATAAATACTATTCCCCCCAAAAGTGTATTAATCACTTTTTTTTCTATTTAGTACTATTTAGCACCCCAGACTGACAAGAAGGCTAATATATTTTAATAAATGTCCATAGTTTGCATATATTTACATGATTATGCATATATTTACACCTGTAAACATACTTTGATATGTGCATATGGGTAAATAAATATCTACCAAAATGGGCTGGTTTTGTGGATAAGACTATACAGATCTCAAAGACATCAACAAACCTTGGGAGAGTGAAAGCTATTCCGTATGCTTTTAAGGGGACTTAAATTTTTTAATATGCTTTTTTTGTATGAGTGCTTTGCTGTATGCTTGTAAGTGTACCACATGAGTGCCTGCTGCCACTTCACAAGTGGATGTAGGGGCCGCTACAACTGGAGTTATGAATGACTGTGAACCACCACGTGGGTGCTGGGACCTAAGTGAAATGATTCTTAACCACTCTCGAGGTCCACCAAGACTTCACTTTGAAAGGACTACAGTAACCACGCCTCTTTGTACCGACGCTGTGTCTGATCTCATATTTACATATTAAACGCGTCTTGAGCGGATGAAACCGAGGATAACAACCTTTCAACACTTCAGCCCATGCTATTCATTCACGGTGATGTCACACCTGCCTAGAGAATGCCAGACTCTGGGTGCCGGCATTAGGCAAGTAAAAGTGTGAAGAGCCTGCCCTTGAGAAGTTCGAATCCGTGGAGACTGAAAACACCTGGGCCGGTCCGCCGCCCGTTCAGTCTTTAATCCATAATGTGCCTCACCCGGACCGAAACACAGAGATGCAATTCAGCTCCTGAATTCAGTTTTCTCCTGCAATTTCTAACAGCTACACCAGGCAGGAAAAGAACCCCGTACTAGGCCACGGAGCCCGAGGCCGCACACTGGCCCAGGCCTCTCGTCGCCCATGCGCCCGCTCCTCTCCCCACTGCACTCACCATGGTGCCGGCGAGGGCGCCCCGGCGCTGCGCCCCAACACAGGATTCTTTGCCGCCCGGAGCGAGGTGGGCAGGCGCGGGAACGCAAAACTCCTAAGAGCTGACAGGCTGCTTTTTGTCGGAAGAATAAATGGAAAGGACCGGAAGCTAAGGGCCGGAAGCGAATGCGCGAACAGGGGAGGGGAGAGAAAGGCAGTTACGCTCCTGGGGGCGGGTTCCGCCGGCGTCACGCCGCGCGTACTGCACAAGACTACGCTTCCGCCGCGAGAATGATTCTGTCGTCATTGGTTCCGTTCTCATGGTGACAGCGGCCAGAGGCTCGCCTGCCTCTGTTCTTCCTGATTTTTTTATGACAGCGAATGACATTTTTGAAAATGACTCCTCCATATCTCTGAATGCACTGAATTCACAGGCCCTGAGTGATGTCAGCTGCGTGGAACCGGATCCCTGGCACGCCTCCGGACGCGGCGCTGCGTGGGGAGCCAGTGGAGCAAACCTGGTTTCCCGGGAGGCTTCTTCACGTCTTCCTGCCATTTATTTGGAGCGGGACAGTGCCTGAGACTACAGTCCTCTTTCCTCCTTTAAAGAAACGTGTAATCATACTTTATTAAAAGTAACTGTTTCCAAGAAATTGAGATGAATGTGATCGTGAAAGAAACGTCTGAGCCAACGAATCCGGCCTTTCTCCACACATTGTCAATTTGGAGTGCCTTATTAGCCACCAAGTGGCGGCGGGCTCTTGTCCCAAAGCATTCTGCATGCAAGCTCAGGAACACAGCGTTTATAACGGTAAATACCAGAGTGGCATTGCAATCAGGTGTAGGTGAGGGAAAACATTTGTTTTGGCTGTATATTCAGCAGACATTTTGGTTATGCATCTGGACCATGGTCAGTCCGCTATATCGGCTTTCCCTGCTCCTGACCACTCGACCATTAGATTCAGCCATCAGTCAGTACACAGGATCTCAGGGAAATTATGGACTAGGAAGGAGTTCAGGATCAAACAGGCTCGGACAGATACTTAGAATAAGTGGGCAGGTGGCCACCCTGCTAGAATCTGAATTCCCACTTCTTGCAACTTAGGTGTGAGGATGTGGTCAAATGATGGCCAGTGGTGTTTTGGGCCAGGAGCTCCAAGATTTTTGCCTTAGCCTTTAATTTCTGCATTTCTAAAACACTGTGACCTTTTACATATAGAGATTTATGGAGTTTATTTGGCCTTTTTTTTTTTTTCAATTATCCATAAGTTTGAAGGGGGTAGGGAGAGCTTATGGAAATGAAGTCAAGGAGATAAGCACTGCTTCACTTCGTAAAATGAACACTAGGTTAAATGCCTAGCACATTAAAAAAAAAAAAAAAAAGTTTGTCCTTTTTCCCTTTCTGTCCCTTTGGCTATCCTGTGAGGTAACCCTAATTAGGAACAACCAACTTGGATAAAGAAATGAAAGTCTCAAGCTGGGCATGATGGCACACACCTGTGTTCCCAGGACTCTGGGAGGCAGGAGCAGGTAGATTGCTGTGAGTTCAAAGCCAGCCTTGTCTACGAAGTCCAGGACAGTCAAAGCTACAGAGAAACACTGTAAGGAAAAAACAAAAACAAACAAACAAAAAAATGATCATTCCTCACAAAAAGAATTGTGGGGACAGGGGTGAAGAGTTTCACTATGTTGTTCTGCTGGCCTGGAACTCCATTTGTAGATCAGGTTAGCCTCAAATTAAAGACTTGTATCCAGGCTTTCAAAAAGTAACCCAGGTTGAACTGAAACTTGCCTTGTAGCTGAGGATGACCTAGAGCTCTGATCTTCCTGCCTCTGATTCTCGGGTGTTGGGACTACAGGTGTGCAACCACTGGACCTAGATTGGTTTGGGCTTGGTTTTGGTTTTTTTTTTTTTTTTCTTTAAATGTATACAGTGTTGTCTGCATGCACACCGGCATGCCAGAAGAGGGCACCAGATCTCATTATGGATGGTTGTGAGCCACCATGTGGTTGCTGAGAATTGACCTCTGGACCTCTGGAAGTGCAGCCATCTTCTTCATTCCCCCTTTTGAAAACAAGCTCTAGGTACATATAATAGGCTGACCAATGCTAACACTACATCAGTCTCACAAGTGTTGGAGCACTTGGCACACCACCACACCCAGTTCACAGTGCAAGGAGTGGAGCCGATTACCAGCAAGCCTGATAACCTGAGGTCATATGCTGAAATTCACAAGATGAAAAACTGCTTTCTACCAACTGCCCTCTAGTCCCCTAGATTAACACCCATACACATGGAATACATTAATAAAAAATAAAAACTTAAATAATCCTGATATGGGACAATACAATGTTGTAAATTCAACCAATTTAAGTGAAAAGCCTTATTTTGTCATCTATGCCAGAAGCAGAGTAGAAAAATGTAGTACACTGAATTGGTTGAAAGAACACTTCCAAGTTAAAAAATATACCCCAAGCCAGGTATGGTGGCACATGCCTGCAATCCCAGCACTCAGGGAGGCAGAGGAGGTGGATCACTGTGTATTTGAGGCTAGCCTGGTCTACAAAGTTAGTCCAGGACAGCCAAGGCTACACAGAGAAACCCTGACTCAGAAAAACAAAATAAAAAAGCATATTCCCTAACTCCACCTGACCCATAAGTCAGAATATGCTTTTGCCAATGACTTTGTGTCCTGCACTCTTCTATGGACCTCAAATACTGTTCTTTCCTCTACCTAGAATGTACTGGAGGTGTGGTTAAAAAAAAAAAAAAAAAAAAGCATCAAAACAGCCCTCAAAGATGTCCACACCCTTATCCCCTGAGCCTAAAAACTGTTACTGTACACACCAAAAGGGACTTTGTAGGTGTAACTAAAGACCTATGAAGTACTAATGGCTCAAAAATCTACTTTGGAACATTTTAAGCCAAGTGTTTGATTTCCAATTTCAAGAAAGGGGTAATACCACCAACCACTCCTTATGCTAGGATCTTTGCTTTGGACCCACACAGGCAAAGTACTTGGAAGCTTTGACTATGGTTTGTAGAACAAGCAACCAACCACTCTGTATACCAAATACTGGAAAATTAGAAGCAAAATGTTGCCATGTAGCTATGTCCTAACTGACAACATTCCCTGCTGAAGGGAAGCTCCCAAAACTCAGAAAGCTAAAGAAATAAAGTTCAAAAGCTCAGCAAGTTACAAGCTTCAAGGCCTCTTGTTCCCCAAGGTTGTAAAAAACTTGAAGTTACCTTCAAGTTGTGTGCAGGGAGCTACAAGGATGTTTTCATGAGTTGTAACACAAGCTGGTCTCAACTTTTCAATGTAGAAGCCGCCGACCCACCCATGCTTCTCTAATAAGCTCACTGGCTCACCATGCTAGACTTGGGCTGGAGTTATGACAATGTCCCTGGTACCATACCCAGGGTGAAGCTAAATTGTTCATATCGCCCTAAGAAAAGTCATACAACACATGCTTTTAACTCTTCAGCATACCAAAAACTCCAAGTCAGATCTGTGGTGGGCATCCGATGTTTTTCAGACATCTGGAACTGGGGTTAAAGGTAATTGACATTACAGCTATGTTGATGCTGGAACCGGAATCCAAAACGCAGATCCTCTACAGGAGCGAGTTCTGTTAACTGCTGAATGGTCTCTCCATCCCCGCATTTTTGGTTGAGAAAGGGTTTTATGTATCCTTGGCTCAACCTGCAACTTACCTAGACCAAGACAGCCTCAAACTCACTCACCTTACCCGCTCTGTTCTGAAAGGCACACACCACCACCTTCAACTATGTAGTCCTGGCTGACCTCAAACTCTTGAGATCCACCAGCCTCTGCCTCCAAAGGATTAAAGCTGAGTGTCACCATTGCCAGGCTGCAGTTTTTGTTTTAATGGGGGTTTCACCTGCATATATGCATAACGTGAGCAGTACCTTTGGAGGAAAGAGACAGTCTCTATTCAGCTCTTCTGGGCTCAAACTTGGTACCCTGAAGCCAGACATGGTGTACACCTTTGATCCCAGCACTCGGCAGAGGCAGGCGGACCTGTGTGTTAGAACCCTGCCTGTTGTAGAGGAAATTCTAAGACAGTGAGGGCTATACAGAGAAACCCCGTCTCAAAAAAAAGGCAAGTTACCATACCATAGTTTTCTTTACTGTTGTATATACCTGAACTAAATGCTAGAAAATGCTGTTTTCCACATCCAGCTGGGTGGATACTTCTTTGAACTTTATCAGGAATAGAAAAACCAAAGCATCCAAACTCCTGCTCTACAACTGCTACATGCTAAAGACAGTACAGGCTATGAAGGCGGGTGGGGTGGGGTGGGGGACTGAAGCATTATGGCTAGATTCTTCCAAAACAAGACCTAATACTACAAGGGTCTTAACTTTGAACAGTCTTTCATGCATTTCAACACAAACCTGCCCAGTGGTGTGACCTAATATGCTAAAAGGCACAGGGTTTTTGTAGCTGCCGTTTAAGAAGACTCTGGTGGTTGTATTTTTGTTGTTGGATTTTTTTTAATAGCAACATGCACCTGGACGTAAGGTCCAGGTCAGAAGAGAGCATCAGGTCCTGTGAAGATGGAATTAACAGGTAGTACTGAGCTGCCCTGAGCATCCATCAATGGCCAACTAGGAACTGAACTCAGGTCCTCTGCAAAAACAAGATGTGACTGAGCCATCTCTCTTCTGCCTACATTCCAGTCTTAATTTGTTCTTTTGAGACAGGTTTCTCTATAGCCTTGGCTGTCCTGGACTAGCTTTGTAGACCAGGCTGACCTTCAACTCACAGCGATCCACCTGCCTCTGCTTCCTTGAGTGCTGGAATTACAGGTGAGCGCCACTATGCCATTTTCCATTAAGACGATGTCCTAATATTTCCAATATTTATAAGGATCACAAAAACTAAAATCTACATTCTAGTCAATCTGTAAAAATAAAATAAAATAGACCAATGATGACACTTTCATAAGATATTAAAAAAAAAATCCAAAGTTGTCCTCTGACCTTGACACAAATACCTATAAGACACATAATATCAAATGTCTTGATTCTTTTGAGACAGGGTTTCTCTGTATAATAGCCCTGGCTGTCCTAGAAATTATTTTGTAGACCAGGCTGGCCCCTAACAAGACTGCTGGGATTACAGGTGT